TAATCTCAGGGTCGTTTAGCTAAGAATTTGAAAGGTCGTTCCTTAGGCATTTCCTGGTCTGGCTCCGCATGGGTTTGTGGTAAACAGTTGAAGCATTATCCGGCATTTTGTCGCAATGGGATATCGATTGCAGTAAGCTTCTTTAAGCTCATTATTAAGGAAGTTTTGGGACAACAGAGATCACTTGATATGCTGTCATTTAAACTTCAAGGAGTAGTTCTATTTGAGTGATCTATCTATTGAAAATGAATATATTTTTGGTTCAAAGGATGGTATATGGAGTTATTGTGCTTCTTTTGGTCCATCCGAAACTGTCTGCTTAATATGTATGCATGCTCCAATTGTCTTGTTTGTGCTTCTCAACTTAAATGAAAACATTATAAGTGGACACACGGATGTAGTTTTACTTTCACATGTTTCTGTATACAGTCTAAAGTCAAATTCTTTAACTCAGTTAATCCAATTTGAAAATTGGATTAATTGAGTTGAATTTAAAAAATTAGGAGTTAGCAAAGAAATAAAAAAATTGATACACAAAAGAAATAGAAGCGAAAACGGATTTTTTTTTTCTTTCATTGATGCAGCAATCCCAAAGTTTCTTTTTGATTCAAACTTAGAATGAAAGTAAATTCAAAACAATTTAAAATGTTTTCGACATGCTTAAATTATGTAACTACTTATATTCCTTAGCACTCATCCAAGGATCTTATTAATCATTTCTGTAGTGGAATCTTGTGAAAATCTCAAACTTGTTCCCAGTTGTCCTCTATGGTTTACCCTTTTCCCTGTTTTCCAGATACAATCCTTTGTCTTTGTAATGGCTGAAAAAGAAAACCGCTACATTGCGTATTTGGAGGATATGTACGAAGACAGAAAGGGCCAGAAAAAGGTCAAAGTGAGATGGTTTCACCACAACAGGGAAGTCAAGGGAGCTTTTACTCTACGCAACCCTCATCCTAGAGAAGTCTTTATCACTCCATACATACAAGTCATTAGTGCTGAGTGCATTGACGGCCCCGCCATAGTATTAACTCGCGAACACTATGAGAAGTGTCTGTCAGTTTTTCCCCAGGATCTACTCGGCAGAGTTCATCTCTGTTTCAGACAATTCAAGAGTAGCAAAATAAAGTCTTTCAAGCTAAGCAAATTGCGGGGTTATTTTGATCAGCCGATTTTCTCATGCTTTAGTCCCGACTTTTTTGACGAGAAGGAAGTCAGCTCCGATGATAACGTGAAAGCTGGTTCCAAAAGGAATAGAAGTTCTAGAGAGTTTAACAAGTCGAGATACGATTTATCGTATAAGAAATACGACCTAATGAGTGGGGTGCCGAAATTCCCCAAGCGCATTTTTTCCGTAAATGAAAAAGTGGAATTCCTTTGTCATGACAGCGGCCTTCGTGGATGCTGGTTCAGATGCACGGTCTTAGAGGTCTCTATGAGACAGATGAAAATTCGGTATGATGACATCATGGATGAAGATAGTTGCACTAACCTCGAGGTATGCGTGAAAGTTATAAAATTCATTCACCAGCTAATCTCATACTTCTTGCAAACCAATTGCATGAACCTGTGAGCATTTAGGGGGTTTTTATATATGAGTAAACTCAATCCACACTCAATTCATACTCAAAATATAACTCAATTTTAACTCAACCCCACTATCCTCAATAATATCAATATAATTAATCAATCATTTTTATACATCACTAGTGCGTGGCCCGTGCGATGCACGGGAAAACAATATTTACGATTGTATTATAAATTTAATATATAAATAACATTAATCATAATTTATCCATCGTTTTTAAATTAAACTGGTTTGGACAAAGTCCGACCGGATGGACCAAGAATCGGTTTATAACCTGTCTAGTTTGCTTGAATAAAATATTTACTCTCAAATCCGTCAACACCAGTCGGTTGGACTGGTAGGATCAACACGATTTTCTAAATAAATTTTGTTATATTTAAAATTATTTTAAACAAAATTACATATTTAAATAAAATAGAGATTTATAAATTATTTATCAGTTAGTTTAAACATTTGAATTTATAAATTGTTTAGATATCTTAGTAACATATTTTATTTAAATTTATTACAAAAGTACTATATATTATATATATATATATATATATTAAAATGTTTATAAATTAAAATCTGAACAAACCACAAATGATTTAATAAAATAGCTTGATCGTTTCGATGACGGTCCAGTTCTGAAAACCTTATATTTACTGTACAGTAATAAATATTATAATAAAATGTTATTTAATTCACATAAATATTAATAAAATGATGTATAAATATTCTTAAATCATTAAACATGTTGTCATAAAAGTATTGTTAATACGATTATTTGAAATTTGGACTACATTACATTCACGTAATAACATATTTTCAATATAAAATTTATATTTAGGTTCAATAATCGATTTAGTGTGGTCGAACTGATACTTAACTTAGTCACCTGGGACCAACCAAGTTGTGTCAAGTTTTTTGACTATTTTAAATATCACCTAAAAGTAATTCAATCAACATGGGCAATACCCTATTTCAGTCACCCGATTGATCCGAAGAAATTTTCTTATTTTTTTTAAATATATTTAATTTTATGAAATAAAAATATTTTATGATTCATATAATAAATGTTTAAACCAAATGAAGTATATTAAGATTATAAATTATATATCTAAAGATGAATTAATTATTTTTACTTTATGCATATTAATAAAAAATAAACATAGTAATTTTCAAAAAATTAAGATTAATTGATTGATTATGCAATTTAAAGAATAAAAATAAAAATATACACACTTAATAAATCTTAGCCGGATTTTTAAATAATAAAATGAACTAAAGCCCGAAATTTAGGGTAGCATTTAATGATGTATGATTTTTAAAGAAAAAAATAAGAAAAGTAATAAAACTTACTATATATAGGTTGCATTAAATTCTGACTTATTTTTTTGCTACCATTTTTAGTAAATGATAATTCTTATTATATATATATAGATATCAACTTTAATTCATTATTCATCCACTCACATAATTTTAACTAACTATCACTTCATATCATCTATCTCCTACTTTTATATCAAATGAACTTTAATTATTTTATTTAAAATATTATTTAAATATAAAATCAAAATCCCACTAATAACTAACCATACCACCTTTTTCAAAATTAACTCTGGTTAACCAAAAAAAACTCGTTTTGAGCGGATATAATTGTATACAAACACGCCCTTAGGTTGATAATGAGACATGGTGATAATCCATAACTACTTTTCTTTTGGAAAAATATATATATTTAGGAATGGATTCCTGCAAGTAGAGTGGCGAAGACTGATAAACTAGGTATGAGGTATTCTGGGCGCCTGACCGTGAGGCCAGCATATCCTTTCAATGACTTGGTCACTAAATTTGAAGTCGGACATTCGGCTGATGCCTGGTGGAGTGATGGTTGGTGGGAAGGGGTTATATCTGACACGACTGATGCTAAAAACGGTTCCTATCAAATTTACATCCCAGGTTTTGTGATCTGTTGCTAATAAATATTCTTAAGTTAAATCTCTTGAAATAACGAGGATTTGTGTTCTTATTTTATTTTTTTTATTTTTTTTCTTAGCAGGTGAAAATTTGTATCTGAATGTTGATGTAAATAACCTAAGAGTTTCGAAAGATTGGGTAGGTGGCGAACAGGGTTGGGTTGTTGTTGAGCCAAACCCTAATATTCTTGGCATTATATCTGCAAATAGTATGGACTCCAAAGCCGATGATAATTCTCCATCACCGGATCATAAAGTTGAGAAGGATGGTGATTTGGCAGGTATGACATTGACTAACGTCCCATTGCAAGACGAATGCATCAACAATGAGAAGGAAAGTAATCACGTCGAGAAAGACGAGAATATGGATTATGAGCCAAGTGGCGCAAACAATTCCCTTTGTAACAACGAAAGTGGGGACCACAACTTAGTGGATTGTGAGATTGCCGAGCTGGGATGTGAAGGGGAAGAAGCTATGGAGATCTTGACTAGCCGTTGACGAAAAAAATCTTGTGGATTGAGTCTCGCTTAGATGTGTATGGTGATAATAGGGTTTATCGGGTTAAGTAGAAAATAGTTGTATATCAATCAAGTTTAGGTCGCCTCATGTTTAAAGTTTGGTTTTTTTGGTGTCATTTCGATGATGTACAGGAATGATGTTGAAGATGGCTTCAAATTGAAGTCAACTCACCTCTCTCTCTGATTAAACGACGTGAAAGGAAGGACCTTTATTAACTGTAGGTCCAGCTTAGGGTTTGGAGGTATTTCTTTCTTCACTCTTTCTATTGTCAGTCTATTATGAGTCTGTATGCAATTGTAGCCCTATGTGTGCTGTATTGCCAAACAGGAACTACTTATTGTTATGATTTTTATTTTAGTTTTTTGTACTTGCCTTGCAATGTGATACATTTGTTTGATCATGTGAAGTATCAAGTGTGTTATTATAAATCCCTTGAATTATGTTACCAGAAAATTCTGTGGATTGAAGATTTTGGATTTGCTGGTGCTTATTTAATTTTTGTAAATGAATATATCTGTGCATTAATTAACATATCGAAAATGGATATTACGTTGAACTCGAGTTTAGCCACAAGAAATCAAATCCCCTTCCATCAGTCACGGTGTTGAGTTGCTACTGCTATTTTTAAGCAGATCGGCAAGGAGAAATGGTTTCTCCGAAGAATATTTATTGAGAGCGTTTGTTGTGTTATTTACTATATATGGCTTTGTATTGTCGTTTGCTTCTTCGTGTGTTCGCTCGTTCGTGTTTTTTGAGGGGAGCATATGACCGTGTTTATACACCCAAAAAAGGTAAAAGTACAATAAATGTGTTGCGCCAGTTTAGGGCGTAGAGTGGCGCCACGTGTATACGTGCAAAACTCGACTTTTGAGGATGGGATATCAGCTTTAATGGTTTTGTATCCACATGCAAGAGAGATCGATTTAGGATGAGATTGGCATAGGGGATTATCTGTCGATCAAGGAGATTGACAGAGTTTGCAAGAGCTACTTCGTGGGCCATTCGTGCTTGAGTTTGTAGGCCAATGATCATATGACTTGGTCTTGATGGGCCGGTCTAGAGTCCGTAAAATTTTGAACAAATTACCCCCTGCACGTCTCCAATCCACCTTAACGCCTAATTAACGAATATTAATTTTCTTATTCCCCATTAACGATATTCAATACAATAGTACGAGAACAATTTTTATACAATTCCAGAAAAGTGATATTTGACCTTTCAATTAGCATTTAAAGCATTTAATGTGATTGATCAATTAATTAAAGCATTAAATGAATAAAAAAGGCAACAATATCATTGGTGGGACATGTGGCCGAACGGTGCTCTTAAGATCTCAATTCTCAAAACAATCGAAGTCTTGTAATTTGGCACAAAGTTCATTAAACCCCATTTTTCAAAAACACTATTCAGCTTTTCGCAAAATTCTCTCTGATATGGCCAAAACGAAGGAGAAGGATTATGTTATCGTTTGAAAGCGGAGCTATCGTGATGCATAATTGAAAAAAAAGGTTGGCCCTAATGGAAGTAGAAAACTTGTGCAGAGAAAACCGATTTCGGGGAAAAAAATCAAAGTTTGTGGAACAAAAAAGATACAAAATGAAGGCATCGGAAACTCACTTAAACTTGTTGAAGCACACTCGATGGTGAGACGACCTACAACTCGTTCTAGTGCTCAAAAGGAACGGCTATACGAAGAATGTTTCTATAAATGTTGAGGGCAAGGATAAGATCGTTTACTATAGCAACAGATCGGAGTTAATGTATTACTCTATCAGGTTTGGAGTTAATGTATATATAAGGTTTATTTTTTTCATATGTTTATTCTTGTCTGTGTGACCATATATGTATATTTGAAGTTCATGTAATATCCAAATTATATATGTTCATTTTTTCAATATGCAAAACGCAATGGGTAGTTTTTTTGGTTATTTTTCATACAAATATGGTATTGAGTAAACTTGTTATATGTCTAAGTTTACCAATGAATGTTTATAAAAAGATTATTTTTTAAGTTGAACAAAAAACCTCATTTAAAAAACGAAAATTTTATCACCTGTTGTCTAATTATTTTTTAAGTTGAACAATAAACCTCATTTAAAAAACGAAAATTTTATCACCTGTTGTCTAATAGTTCATGCCCATATTAATTATTTAATTCTATGTTTTTTTTTTTGATATAGCATGTTGATTCCGGCAGATATATTACAGGATTGCAGCTGCGATTGTTATTTCCATTTTATGCAGATTTTCTAGTTTTGTAGTAGGAATTTTATATATAGCACAATTTTGGGATTAAAGTTTTTAATGATTACCCTAATAAAATGTACCTAGTATAAGATAACTTAAAATAGTAATCAATATGTTTATCCCTCATGAGTTTAAAATATTAACGCATAGAAAATAAAAAAGTATATGACTTAACAATTATTTCAAGGATCAAATATATAAGATATTAAAATTAAAAACAACGGGTCATTTGTCAAACTAGCATCTAAACTCAAAATATTTATAACATTTTTGTATAAAAAATTTAAAAATTGTCATGTAACTTGTAAGTATAGAAAGAAAAAATAAAATATTTATAAAATATATGTTAAAAATTATGATAACAAACCAAAAAATTATTTGTCGAACTATTCATATAAATTATTAACTTAGAAACAAAATAAAATATTTATATTATATATTATTATATTTATAATGATATACCAACAAGCTATTTGTCGCACAATGACGTAAATTGTTAGCTAGAGAATAAATCAAACAATATTTATAAAATTTATTTTTATAAATTATAATGATCAGTCAACCGATGTCGAATTATCGTGTTAATTGTTAGATTAGAAAAAATTAAAATAATTGTAATATTCATTATTATAAATTAAAAAATTAAAATAATTTTATGTAATTAAAGATTAGTAAATTTTATAACTTTAAAATATTATACATTACATTATTTTTAATAAATGTCGGTTTATAATCTTTGTCAAAACTTTTTAAATTTTATCATCACTTATTTAAGAATCAAAATAATATATTGTAACAAGGTATGAATAAATGAGAAGAGAGAGACGCACTTTTGTGAGTATTTTATTGATAATGTTAGAACATGTTAAATTTTTACATGACTTAATTTTAAACTGGGATTGTACAACGACTATTGTTTTATAATGAGCGAAATAATCATAATTAAATTATTATTTATTATAAAAAAAATTAATATTAACTTTTAAAACTATTTTATACAAATCAATATTGTTAATTACTTTAAATTTTATACAAATCAATATTGTTAATTACTTTAATTTATACGATTGATTATATTGTCTCGTACATAAATAATAGAACAAAATTAGNAAAAAAGCGATTGCCTGCGTCAGCGCACTCGTCATACACATGCTCTTAAGTCAACAATTTCCTTTCAGCACCTGCTCTTGTGACATATACAAAACCACGCGCCTCCACTTTTTGTGTCTAGAAACTTCAACTACCCCATCACAAATCCTTAAATTCCTTATTTGTTATTATCAATTTTGAAAATATATATCTTAAAAATAAAATAAAATCGAAAATTTAGAGTGTACTCATTTAAAATTTCTAAAAATTTTAAGACTTTAGAAATTATGATGTATTTAATTTAGACTTTTTAAGATTTTTACAAGTCTTAGTTATTCATTTTAGATTTTAAAGAGTTTTACGAAATAATGAGGTAGTTATCTCATTTGAGACTAATATGTTAGGACATTTTTAAGATGTACTTTGAATTTTAAAAAAAATACCTTGTACGAAATCTCACTCAAAACCTCACTACCAAACTCAAGATTCCACAGAATTCATTCAAAATCTGAAAATTTTAAAAAGTCTCAAATTTCATAAAGTACTAAATGTCACTTGAAATTCTAAACACTGAACCAAAATTGTGATGATTTTCATTTGGATTTTGAGCGACATTTTGAGACTTTTGGTGATTTGAGACTTTATTATTTTTAAATTCTGGAAGAATCCTATGAAAAGTTTAAGTTTGAAAGTGAGATCTAGAATATGATTTCGTATATGATTTTTTCTTTTGAAATCCCAACAAATAATAAAAAGTCTTAAGGCAGTCTCAAATAAGTTAAATAAATCAGGGTTTTGTAAAACTTTTTAAAATCTCAAATGAATAACTCGAGACTTTTAAAACTCTTAAAAAGTCTAAATTAAATACACCATGATTTATGCCTTAAAAAGTCTCTAAAAATCCTAAACGAATATACTCCCTTAGTCTAAAATTTTTTGTATTTGGTTCGATTGAGGTCGAACCGTAGAAGATTCAGAACTTTTCAGATTGATTCGGTCGGAGAAATTGAAAGTCTTAATTATTAATTTCAATTATTTTCTAAATGAATGTATTACAACGTTTAAG